TTTTAGATAAAAATAACTTTTCAAGGAAAGATTATATTCACTGTGGCTGTAATCATAAGCAGTGCTCATTTATCTGTATGCAGTGGCCAGATTTTTAATCTCTGTGACTTTGAAATACCCACCTGTTAATATAAAATGAAATCATTTAAGACATTTTTCTCCTATGAAGCTATGAAAATATGAATGTTCACTGTGGGAAAATTGAAAAGTAGAAGAAGGTATAAAAAAGAAAACATAAGCCGGGTGCAGTGGCTCACACCTGTAATCCCAGCACTTTGGGAGGCTGAGGGGGGTGGATCACATGAGGTTGGGAGGCTGAGACCAGTCTGGCCAGCATGGTGAAACCCTGTCTCTACTCAAAATACAAAAATTAGCTGGGCATGATGACAGTTGCCTGTAATCCCAGCTATTCAAGAGGCTGAGGTGGGAGAATCACTTGAACCCGGGAGGCAGAGATTGCAGTGAGCCGACATTGGGCCACTGGGTTCCAGCCTGGGTGACAGAAGGATAGTCTGTCTCAAAACAGACAGACAAAACAAAAAGAAAACATTTACATTGAACCCTACCATCCAAAGATTATCACTGTTTATAAATTTTGCTTGTTTACTTTTGTCTTTTTTTCTGTATACTCTTACATAATTGAGAAGTAATCACTTTTCAAAATAAAATAAGTTACTGTATAGATATGCTTTGAATATTCTTTTCTTTATTCAAGACACAATCCAAGTGAATCATTTGGATTATTATTTCCAAAAATAATATCAAAAGTAGGACAATTGAAATAAAAAAATTAGAGATACTTTTCATAAATGAATAGGGAAAAGAAAAAATGGTAATTTTACTTTTGGAGGCATAAGGTTTAATTTTAATTTGGCATCATAAAATACATTAATAGTGAGGGTGGAGTGGGGAATCACATAAACTGTTGGTGGGCAAGGTTTTAGAAATATTTCATGTATTTCTTTTCCAGTGCAGGAATTGATTTTACAACATTCCTGACAGTTGGTGAGCCTCTCCATAAATACTTCCAATTGTAGGGAGCTTACCTAGTTTATGAGGCAACTTATTCCTTCGATGGCTCTAATTTTTAAATTCTTCTCAGTCTTGTGTTAAATATTGTAATGTTCACATATTTCTTGTTTTGCCCTCTAGAAAGATTTTTATTTCCACATGACACTGTTTTAAATATTTACCTTTAAATATCAGTATTCTCTGTTGTGCATAATTCTTTGTTTTCATCTGTCCAGTAAACTCATTCCCTTTTAAAATCTATGTTCTGATTCAGTGCACAGTGATGGGACATCTTTTGATAAACATGCTGTGTCTTCATTAAAGCCCAAAGCTTTTTGTTATTGTTTTTAAGCAGCTACTTAAATTGTTGGCAGGAGTCACAGAGGTAAAATAAATGCCCAGCATTTTCCTCTGGGCCCCACCTTACAGCTGACAAGTTAGAGTTCCCTTCTAGTGTTGTACTTGTGAAGTTGACTTAAAGCAAACAGTCTGATTATAGGGGCTTACATAAATCTTTTAAATTTCATCTTATCATGCTAGTCTTTTAAGATCTTTGGATTTTATTTTTATAAGGTGACATATTAAATATTCCTTCTGGCCCTGTATGTTCTGTATTAATATTCTTTGCCTACTGTTGTAATCAGCTGTGAATTTACCTGACTTCTTTTTATGAAGCTCACGTTGTTTTCATCTCTCTAGAAAATCCATCAAAAAAAGAAAGGTTAATTTGGGTTGGGAAACAGTCTGTAGATTTTGTAGATTGGGAGTTTGAATCTCTTTTTCTTGGATTTTGTTGTCTCATGTCTTCGTGTTTCTTTTCCAAAATGATTTGGACCTATGTCCATATTTTGTGCCTGAAACACATGCAGCAGTGGTGCCTACCCTGCTCAGGGACTATTTAAGGCCTGAAAAGTATTCCGGAGGGCTGTGTAAATGCTGTCTGGGTTGGGATTGTATTTGATTTATTTCCTCTTGTCAGTTGGACTGTCATCTTCTCTTAGGGTATTATACTGCTTCCTCAGGGACAAATGAACCTCAGCTCCACGTTATGAATTTGGAGGGATGGGAAATTGTGGTTATGAGAGCTGTTTGTTTTCATTTTCCTTAATGCCTGAATTCCCCAATCTTGAGAGTAATTCCTGTTTGTTAACAGTATTATACTTTCTAAAAATAAAAATATAGGACATATGACTGATAATATAGTTATTCTTGGAGCAAGTAGTATTGGAAATCAGACTTGTATTTTAAAAAGATGTTTATTAACTTAAAACTACAATCCATATTTATTGTTGAAGAAATAGAAAATAAATAATAAGAAAAAGATAATATTACCTAAATCTCTGTCACTTAGTGGTGACTCACTGTAAACCCCTGGCATTCTTTATTTTAAAAATTATTTTCTTATTTTTTCATCTGTGTTATGACTTTAAAACATCTGACATTCTAACAGATTTTATGTATGATAGGTTTTAATGGTTTCATGCTGTAATACTCATATATAACTTGTCATTTTTTTAATGACAGTTTTGAACATCTATAAAAAGGAATATACTAACAGATTTTATGTGTGAATATTACCAATGCTTAAATGATTTCATACTGCATATGCTGTCTTAAATAGCATGCTTTTCTAATTTATAATAATAGTTTTTGAACATCCGTGTGGTCACAATGAATATAGAGCTCCAGCATTGTTTTTCTTTATATGGTATGGGTGTGATATTATTTATTTACCTAATCATCTTTTATTGGAAACCAAAGACTTTTTTTTTTTTTACTATTTTAAATATCATTGTGATGAATAGGTATGCATATAGTCTCAATTGACTTTTCTGATTAATTCTTTGTGTTAAATTCCTAGATCTGGAATTCTGTTCTAAAGATTGCCATATTGCCATTCAGGGAAATTGTACTACTGTATATTCTCACCATTGGTATATAAGAGTGCCCATTTTCCCAGCAGCTCAGATGCAGATAATCTCCCTTTCTAGCTGTGTTTGTTATCTACCATGATGTGAAGGCCAACTCAGTGGTCCGCATTTTCAGACTTCTGTCTTTTGCCTTTGCTTATGCTATATTCTCTTCTTGGCATGACTTTCCCCTCCTTTGCTTGCAAATTCTACCTGTACTTAAAGTGTATAAAGCCAGGACATTTATAAAACTTTATACTGCTGTGAACATCTTTAATCAAGGATATTCTTTTCATAGGAAGTTTATAGTTGAAATTATGAAATAATCCTAACCTGAGACATAACATGTTTTTCCAAGTTAGCCTTTTCTCTCAGGTGTTGGAGAGCCAGCTTCATAAATGGCTATTAGCTGAAATCTCCAATTTCTGAAACCTCTGGGCCCTGTATGCTTATATTCCTGAGTCTGTTTTCTGTCTTTTAAGGCTTCATATTTAATTCTGGTGAATTTCTCCAGCAGCGAGCTGAGAGTGGCAGAAGAGGAGGAGATTGTAGTTTGACTGTCAGTTCTATTGCCAGGTGGATGGCCAGAAAGGCCTGGCAAAGGTGGAGATTAACAGAGAGGATATATTGAAGTGCCCAGTAAATGCTGAATGACTGAGCTAAGTGATAGCTCTGGAAAACCCCAGAGAATGGCCCTGAGGATTGATGCTGAACTTAAAGGAAACCTGAAGTTAAAACTATTAGATTTAGGCCAAGGAAGCTGCACCAGTAAATAGAGCTACAGCATAAAACCGAGGCTACTTTTCTGCTTTAGAGATTGGATGGCTGCTAATTGATAAAAGTATCTTGGAATATGCAGATATTAAATACTGTAATTTAGTATCTTTGTACTACAGTTCTAACCTGCCACCAGCACCATTGTTAGCACAGCTGACTATATGCCAAATACTATCACACCTGTTTATAAATATTAGTTGGCTCATATGTGTTTGGAAAATAGGGAAAATACGTCAGTATAATGTGGCAGTTGTTGATTCACATGTAACATTCCCGGGTTTAGGAGAGCTGGTATAGTGAGGTAGAATTATAACCTTTAGCTGAAGAGGAAAAAACTGAACTCTCCTACAAAAACAGCAGGATCCTTTTTAGCACTATACTGAAAAAATCCGAAATGAGCCTCTACACCTAGGGCTTCCTCCCCAAGAGGTGCACCACTACTTTTACCTTGGTTTTGCAAGAGGCAGGTTCCTTTCTTTGCTCCTCTTCCCTGTGCATTGTCGTAGCTGGCTGGCTTTCTTACTGTTATACAGTGTTAACATGCTCTGATACCTTAAACCATGCCTTAAACCACCACAAGATGTTTGCCTGGGCATGCAAATGATCTCCCTGGGTACCAATTATTGATGTTGTTACTTCTCTGGTTATAAACTTGAAAAGGTTGTGAGTGTCCACCCCTTGCCCCCTCCCCACCCTGACATTAAGCATTATTTTTAGTGCAAGGTTTTTCTAGAATGTATATATTACAAGGAGCAGAAATGTCTGTATTTTCTTTTTGGATTTTTTTTCTAAGGATATTTTAATTTGTTTTCATTATTTTTAAGTGTCAACTCCAACTTCTAATATGTTGTGCTTATTTTTCAAAATATGATTTCCTCAACTCATTTTGTCTTAGACACCTCAAAGCCTTTCCTCTATTCATTGTTTTAGTCTTCTCCTCTTCTCTCCTACCTTCCTATAATAATCTCTCCCATTCTACCCTATAGCTTCTTTGTGCATTTGATGTTAATTTATAACGTTAGGAAAATTTTTGTCTCGGCATTTTGGGGTGTTTAAGAATCTTCCATTAGGAGCAGAAATTATATTTACGAGCTCTTGTATTTTAATATGAGCGATATTTCCCTATATTTTTAAGTCAAAGTTAACAGCACTGAAATATATTTTATAGCAAATACATAGATGTTGATTAGTAGTATGTGAGTATGCATATATTGTGTGTTTAATGTAATTTGTAAACACATTTATAAAATATATAAATTTATGAATGTGACTGTGTATAATGCTAATTTTATTTTCCTTCAGGATGATCAGGATGGTAGTCAAGGTCTGGGCAAGAGAAAGAGGGTAAAACTAAGCAGTGGTACCAAAGGTATTTTTATTGTTTTTTTTTTTCCCCCTTGAATAAAATGCTTCTAAAAAATGCTTCTAAAAAAATGCCTGACCACTAAGAATACTTGATGGGCTACCAGTATTGACATCAAAGCTCTTTGAAGGGAGACTTAGGTTATTGGATTTATCTAATAAGTCTTGGAGAAAGTATTGTTAAGGGATGACTGTTGGATTTTGTTCACTATTTTTATCATAAAATATGCATTATCATATTTGAGTCCCCTCCCATAAGGAATTGTTTTTCACTGATTGATTGATTTGGCTTCAATTCATGTGAATTTGTAGTTTGGCCTAGTACCTTTTATAATCTGGAGTATGCAATTTCTAGAGTGAAAAAGACAAGGGAGACATGGTGAGAGACAGGCAGATGCACGCGCGCACACGCGCGCACACACACACAATGGGAATGAACAAATGGTACTTAACACATAATAAAGGCTCAGTAGGGACTCACATGTTTACTCAAAGGAGAAAGTAGTACAGATATGGTCTATATTGAGGGACTAGATTAGTAATAATAATGAATAAAATTATTGAACCTAGATTAGTAATAATAATGAATAATATTTATTGAACCTTTTATATGTGTCAGATGTAGTACTAAACACTTCACATGCATTATTTCATTTAATTCTCAAAGTAACCATATAAAGCAGGTTTTATTGTTATTACCATTATATGAATGAGGAAATGGTGACATGTTAGAGATTATGGCTGATGACAGGTAGATCCTTAATTCATATCCCAGAGCCTAAGCTTTTAACCACAGTGTTTACTTGGCTGTCACTAAAAGCTTTTCTAGAATACTTGTGATTAGTTGACAAGTCTGTGCTTTGGATTTTTGCCAGGGATTTCCATATATTAACATGTGGTCTGTTTAGAAAATCTCCAGAGGCTAAAATGTTATTTTGATGAAAAGAAATTTCTTACTTCTGCTATTAAGTATATCTTGCAAAATATCTAGGATTGCCTAGAAAGGTGGAACATGCAGGTACTTTGAGTTGCAGGTTTCTTTTCTAAGTCTCAGTTATTATGCTGCTGCATTTAACTGGGGGGTTGCTAGGAAGGAATATGGAATTTGATCTGCAGTCCAGGGTGCACACATGCGCACATTTTTCTGGCTTGGCAGAGAACTTGTACCTCTGAAGGAAATTAGGACCCAAATGACCACCTGTCTCCTTAACTTACCAAGTCTCAAACTGAGTCCTTGTGATACATCTGAGTTGGAAATTGTTAGGCACATAATTGAGTTTAAGCTTTAGGGATGCCCAGAAAATACCTGCTGTGGTATAAGAGGTCATTGTTTTCCTTCAGCCTGGTCACATTCTGACTGAAGATACTTTTTGTATGGACTTAAGTTGAAGTGTTTTTTTGTTCATTTGCTTTTAAATACCTGAACTTTTTTCACACATGGTTTTGGATTGAGTGCCTTCTCTTCCTTCCTTTAGTGGTAAGAAATAGTACAGACTTCATCAGTTATCGTTTTCAGTTTAAGCATGTACATGGAAGGAATGGCTTTATGAATTAGCACCCGAGGGGTTTTCAAAAACTGACCTTATTTTGAAGATATCTGAAGCTTAGGGAATCGTTCAATTTTTGTAATAATTTTGTTCAACAGTGCACTGAAAAGAAAATATGTAATGGCAAGGAATAGGCCAGACACTGTGCTAACCTCATCGCTGCCTGTTCTCTAAACTTACATTTTAAGGGTGAAGAAACTGAGTCCTTGAGGGCTTTAACTGCATGTCCAAGACTCCAAGATTATTGAGCTAGTGAGTTGCAGAACTTGAACTCTGCTGTGTGTGTGTGTTTTTTTTTTTTTTTTTTAAGACAGAGTCTTGCTCTGTTGCCCAGGCTGGAGTGCAGTGGTGCGATCTTGGCGTACTGCAACCTCCGCCTTCTGGGTTCAAGTGGTTCTCTGCCTCAGTCTCCCAAGTAGCTGGGGTTATAGGTGCCTGCTACCATACCTGGCTAATTTCTGTATTTTAGTAGAGATGGGGTTTCACCATCTTGGCCAGGCTGGTCTTGAACTCCTGACCTCGTGATCCACCCTCCTCGGCCTCCCAAAGTGCTGGGATTACAGGTGGGAGCCACCATGCCTGGCCAAACTCTCCTCTCTTAATTAAAACCTTTGCTTTAGTCATGCATTTACACTGCATCGTGATTCTTCAGAAATCTCTTTATAGTTTGACTTAAGGTAGTTTACACATTGTTAAAAGTCATGTCAAGATTTAAAGCTATATAGTCAAATATAACTAATAGAAGCATTTCTAATTACATTTCCATAATATTACACATAAAGTGTACAACATATGCTTTAAAATCTTGGGAGACTGACATCACCTATTTTAAGAACAACAATAAAGACACTGCTGGAGTTTTTTTTTTTTTTTTTGTCTGCAGATTAAAAAATTGAATTCTGCGTAACTGCAGCTGTTCTCATTTTAGCAGAAGCCACAGCTTTCCTGGTATATTCAGGTTGTTTTATTGATTTAAAGCATCGTTAATGTATATTTTATTTTAAGTGCTTGACTAATAATAATTATGATGGCTTCAGGCTTTTCATTTGGCTAGTGCAAGCTTGCAGAGTCATAACTATGAATTCTATGATTAATAGTACTAGTTTTGTTCAGCTTTGTGAGTAATTAAGAAGCACTTACCAATGAGAGTTTTTATTTTGGTAGTCTGTGAAATTATCAGTCATGTTGTGTTAAGTGAATTGTGAGAATTAAAATAGGTACAGCAGTGTGCTGTGGATTGTAACTTATTTATTTTTTTCAGGACAGGGTCTCACCATGTTACTCAGGCTGGGATGCAGTGGCATGATCTTGGCTCACTGCAATCTCTGCCTCCTGGGTTCACATGATTCTCCTGCCTCAGCCTCCTGAGTAGTTGGGACTACAGGTGCATGCCACCACACCTGGCTAATTTTCATATTTTTTTAAGAGATGGAATTTTACCATGTTGCCTAGGCTGGTCTCAAACTCTTGAGCTCAAGCCATCTGCCCACCTCAGCTTTCCAAAGTGCTGGGATTACAGGCGTGAGCCACTGTATCAAGCCTACATTACAATTTTTAGTTATAAATCTTAAATTCTTGCTACCTGATTCTCTTGGGCCCTGTTTTTATTATTTTTTGTCTTTGAATCTGTCAGTGAGTCTTTTGACAGTATTTTACCTCATTTCTTGCAATCTTTGTTTCTTTCTGTTTTAAAATCATTGCCATGCCTTGGAGGTGATCTGTTTCAGGAGGAATAGACTTCTGTTTTATAAGTAGAAAATTCTGAATTTTGAAAATAATAACTTAATTTCTAATAATAAAGAAATGTAGTCTGGGCAACATAGCAAGATCTTGTCTTTACAAAAAATAAAAAATAAATTAGCAGGGTGTGGTCTTGCACACCCTGCTAATTTATTTTTTAGCTATTCAAGAGGGTAAGGTGGGAGGATCACTTGAGCCAAGGAGTTTGAGGCTGCAGTGAGCTATGATTGTGCCACTGCACTCTGGCCTCAGAGTGCGTCCCTGACTCTAAAAAAAAGATGTATAGTATACTTGTCTTTGTATGTTAACCACTACTATATATCACTTATGTCATCACTGAAATGGAATTAGGGAGTTGTAGTTGGAAACAATAGAGTTTGCCTCTCTTTAGTTATAATATCTTCAGAATATAGGATATTTTGATGTCATTTTTTCTTTAGTTATTGGGCTGGGTGCAGTGGCTCACGCCTGTAATCCCACCACTTTGGGAGGCTGAGGCGGGAGTATCATGATGTCAAGAGATTGAGACCATCCTGGCCAACATGGTGAAACCCCATCTCTACTAAAAGTACAAAAATTACCTGGGCATGGTGGCGCATACCTGTAGTCCCAGCTACTCTGGAGGTTGAGGCAGGAGAATCTCTTGAAGCCAGGAGGTGGAGGTTGCAGTGAGCTGAGATTGCGCTACTGCACTCCAGCATGGCAACAGAGGGAGACTCCATCTCAAAAAAAATAAAATAAGGACTGATTCAAGCCTTAGTAAACTTAGTGTTTTATAAAATCAGGAAAGTGGTGACATGTTGAGCTTATTGTTACTCATTTAGACCCACTACCCGGGGAGATGTGGGATGAACACATTATTCAATACTAGAGGAAGTATACAGCTGTGGTAGTGTTAATTGAAAAAAAACTCTACCAGGTTATCCTGCAAGATACCTCAAACAGTGATATAGTTAGCGCTGTACCTGAGGATTTTGATGTATGTGAGATACTTTTTTTTCCGGTCTCTCATCTAAGTTCAGTCCCTGCTTAAGCAGTGTCACTGGAGCCAGCACATTCATAGTTGACACTTCTTGTATCCTCTTGATGTCTTTGTGGTAGAGCCGATGATCCGGAACAGTAACTTAAGATCATTTCCTCTGACAAAGATTAATAGAATTGTCTAATTCATTTGCAGGGGAAGAAATTAGTGAGAGAAAGAGACAGTGAAAGTATTCAAATTACTAGTTCATCATATTCCTCTTGAGACCTTCTGTAGACTAAGTTGGCAAGAATGCAGAGCTTTGCAAGAGACTGACTGGCCCTCAAGAAGTGACACTTGGTCTTCGACTTTCCAGTAGATAATGCTATCTTCCATTGAATACTTTTATTTTTAAAGGGCATCCATTCCACCCTTCATTTTTCCACTTACTGCTCTATATTAAAAGATAAGCATTAAATTTTTTCTTGTATACTGTGTACATTGTAGAAATCTAGCTTGTCAATATTATTGCATCATTGAAGGCATAGTTTTAATTTTTAGATACACTTACATTATATGGTTTATGTGTTATTAGTTATATAAGTTTTAAATGAGATGAGCAACTTCAATCATTAACTGACAAATTTCATTTTTCTTGTGCAGATCAATCCATAATGGATGTTTTGAAACATAAAAGCTTCCTAGAAGAACTATTGTTTTGGACTATAAAATATGAATTCCCCCAAAAGATGGTAACTTTCTTACTCAACATGCTTCCAGATCAAGAGTATAAGGTATCTATATATTTTCCTGCTTTGCTGAACTTTGCTTTTCTTTCTTTGCCTTTTCATTACTAAATCTTTTTTTGATATATTTCTCAGGTGAGGGTTAATATTATACTATAAACAAGCATTAGCTTCTTCCCTTGCTAACACAGGTTCTGCACAAAAGGCACAGTGTCTGAGCTTTGTGGCAAAGCAGCATTACTGAGCAGGATTCCCAAGGATTGCTTTTCTGCATGGAACTTTGTCTGGAGGGAATGCTGGGGAACAAACGTTGAAACACCATTTTTTTTTTTTAACAGAAATAAATATGTAGTTATAAATTGTTCTAAATCCTTTGAAGAAGACTACAAGGTGCTATGAGAGTGTTTAATGGGAACAATAGAATTTAGATTGTGAGATTAGGCTGGGAAAAGCATGGGTTGAATAGTTTTTGGTCACCACTGCTAAAGAGAGAACAGTTATTGACTCATATACAAATGTTGGTAAGTGAAGTTTCTAGTTCCAGGGAGTCAGAACCCACATGTTACCATCATGTGGTTATGGCAAAGTGACAAAGCTCAGCGTATTAAAAAAAAGAAAATAAACCATGCTGTAATTTTTATGGTATAGGTTAGGAGAGACACTTTACTCGTGTCATTGTTTTGTGTATCTTTATATCTACTAAAAAAAAAAAAAACCCAGAAAATGTACATGTTACACAGAAAGGAAATAAGAGTGAAAATAAGTATGGCCAGGTGTGGTGGCTCACTCCTACAATCCCAGCACTTTGGGAGGCCAAGGTGGGCGGATCATCAGGGGTTGGGAGTTTGAGATCAGCCTGGCTAACATAGTGAAACCCTGTCTCTACTAAATATACAAAATTAGCTGGGTGTGGTGGTGCATGCCTGTAATCCCAGCTACTTGGGAGGCTGAGGCAGGAGAATTGCTTGAACCTGGGAGGCAGAGGTTGCATTGAGCTGTGAGCTGGGATCGTGCCACTGCACTCCAACCTGGGCAACAGAGTGAGACTTGGTCTCCTAAAACATAAATAAATAAAAAAGTAAGAATAAATAATCCTGCAGATCATTTAGTCAGATTAGTGGTCAGCTTTCAGATCAAAAAGGAGAAGGTACTTGTTTTGAAATAATCACATTGATTCACTTATTTGGTTATATTAAATCCTCTGTAATAGTTTGTAGCTGAGACTTTATTAGATTTTGTTGTTAAAGTAGGTAGCACAGAACAGAGTTACATACTTTGACCTCAGTAAATTGATACATTTGTGAGTAAAGTATATCTTGTGTTTTAAACCACAGCATTTATTCTTACTTTGCAACTTTAATAATTTAAAATGTCTTAAAAATTTTTTTAACTGGACTGGGCATGGTGGTTTACACTTGTAATCCCAGCACTTTGGGAGGCCAAGGCAGGCACATCACAAGGTCAAGAGTTCGAGACCAGCCTGACCAACAGGCTGAAGCATTGTATCTACTAAGAATACAAAAATTAGCCAGGCATGGTTGCCCTAAGCTGTAATCTCAGCTATTCAGGAGGCTGAGGCAGGAGACTTGCTTGAAACCCGGGGGGTAGAGGTTGGCAGAGGTTGTAGTGAGCCGAGATTGCACCACTGCACTCCAGCCTGGGTGACAGAGCAAGACTCCATCTCAGAAAAAAAAAAAATTGTTTTTCTTTAGCCATCAGAATATTTTGCAAATGTTCCATAAAAGCAAAAGACTACCCTCACTATTGAGATTTTTTTTTGTTACCTTGGGCATTATTATAAATTAGGAATAACTGTAAAATGTTAATATGATATATTGAAAATGGTTTTAAATTAAAAATTAAAACTAATATGTTTTTTCTATTAAAATGTTTACAGGTTGCTTTTACAAAAACTTTTGTTCAGCATTATGCTTTCATTATGAAAACACTGAAGAAAAGTCATGAATCAGACACAATGTCTAACAGAATTGTGCATATTAGTGTTCAGTTGTTCAGCAATGAGGAGCTAGCCAGACAGGTAACAGAAGAATGTCAGCTGCTGGATATTATGGTCACTGTGCTATTATACATGATGGAAAGTTGCCTTATTAAAAGTGAGCTACAAGGTAACTCAGAATTATATTCACTAGTTCTATTAGTATAATTATTCTATTATTGTTAGTGTGCTTAATATATTTATTAGTAATATTACTAATTACTAATAAAACTTAGTATTGTTAATCTAGTATTATTAGTGAACTTTGTGTAACTGGTCTTGAAAACATGTTTAAAAAAATTATAAAATAATACAGATTTGTTGCAAACATTTTTGAAAATTTTCAGTGAAGTTTAAAGAAAAAGTTAAAAGCACTTATAGTTTTGTTGTTCACAAATACCTGTTAGCACTTTGCTGTATTTCTTTTCTTTTTGTGTGATGACTATATAGATACAATAAATACTTTGAAAAAAGTTGCCGTCATGTACATGTCAAAAACATGCATTTTAATACTTTTTAAAGTGCAGGTATTAATATCATGGCTATACCATAATTTGGTCATTTCCTTATTAGACATGTTTCTGTTTTTAATCATAGATTTGTTGCTATCAGTCTTAGATAATTTTACACCCTTATTCTTTTATAACTTAAAAATTGGGATAAATCTTGCCTTTTCTCTACTCCCTTAGTGAGAACTTGTATTCTTCTTTTGTGCCCACTATGTGGTTGATAGTCTTCAATCTGCCAAAATGTTACTATACCTCTTCCTGTTCTCATTTCTCTATGGTCATTCATGTTAACTTCAACTCCCTTAAATTATATATGTATACACACACACACACACACACACACACACACACACACACAATTATTTTTTGAGACAGAGTCTTGCTCTGTCCCCCAGCCTGGAGTGCAGTGGTGCAATCCTGGCTCGCTGCAACCTTCGCCTCCTGCGTTTAGTTCAAGCAGTTCTTTTGCCTCGGCCTCCTGAGTAGCTCTGATTAAAGGCATGCGTCACCACATCTGGATAATTTTTGTATTTTTAGTAGTAATTTTCTTGCCATGATTCTCAGGCTAGTCTTGAACTCCTGACCTCAGGTGATCTGCCTGCCTCAGCCTCCCAAAGTGCTGGGATTACAGGTATGAGAAAGGAGGGGGAGGAGGACCAGAACAGAGACTTAGGAAAGAGAGTACTCTCTTTTGACCTTAATCTTTTCTTTTTTCTTGCTGCTCAGAATGTGGACATGGGGGCTGAAACTTCATTAATTATTCAGGGCCATGAGGCAAACTTCAGAACAGATGCCATGTATATACAAAGAATAACAGAGTAGGCCGGGCATGGTGTCTCATACCTGTAATCCCAGCACTGTGGGAGGCCGAGATGGTGTTTTAAATTTATAATTGAGAAAACATAATTTAGAAGTACCTATTCTTTTAAAAGAACCTGGAGTCTGTTTTGTTCACTAGGCGATTTAGCTGTGCTTATTACATATGGTTCATATTTAATGTTTGTGAAAAAGATGTGTCTAAGTCTGCCTCCCACTTTTTTAAAAATAGCTAGCTTTCCTGAGTTTTTATACTTGTATCCTTACCTACAAGTCACTCATTAACCTACCTCATTCTAGTGTTCACTCCCATTGTTCTATAGAAATTGTTCTCTACAAAATTGTTTATGACTCACATAGCTGTATGTCTTAGTTTTCCCAGAACAGCCTTAAGTTATGCCTATTAGTCTGACATAGTTATTAATACAATTCCTTTTACACTCAAAAGTGTCCCAGTTTATACCATAAATTTTATGGTTACCCTTTTTGTAAACTACATGTTGAGGAAGCCTGTGGTCATACTTTAGAGTTTATTGTGCTTGATTTTCAGTAGCATTTCACACTGTCGATTCTCTTTCTGTGGCCCAACACACTTCTCTACTTGTCCTGTCAATGTTGGTATTTCTTAGCACTTTGTCCTAGCGTCTCTGCTTTTTACACTTTTCCCATTTTTTCTGAAATCATATTATATGGTATCAGTTGCTTTTTACATATGCTTCTAATGCAGTTAGTCTTTTCTGGAAATTCTTATACCAGTTGAATTTTCAACAAGCTGAAATAAAGATTGTTAAGATCTTTAAATATATGTGTATCTTTTTTAGCAGTAAATTATTTCCAGCCAAGGTCTGAAACTATCTTTAGAAGTCTTCAAACTTTGCCATACTATGTTTTTCCTCTTTCAGTACTAGCATAAAACATTTTATACATATAAATGCTGCTTTTCTAAAAGTATGATAAGCTTTTCCCATTTTTACACTGAGTATTAGGGCAGGCTTTAACTGTATTGAACTAACCATAACTAGCCACAGATATTACAACAGGATCTCTGTACTTTCTTTTTATTTTTTAGCAGCTTCTGTCTAGCCTTGGCTTGAATTGTTGTTAGATGGTATTTTAAAATTTAATTTATACTTTTAATAAATACAGGAGTTGATACAATGAGAATTTCCTTTTTTACATTCAATTTTATACTTTTTTATATTCAATTTTATACCATATGCTTTGTGGTTCCAAACATAGCTCATAATTTTTCGTGTTCCAGAAATGTTAGAATTTGTCTTTTGAAACAGTCTGTGTAAAAGGGAATCTAAACCATGTATTGCACAACATAGGAATATCTGTAGATGCTCATAATCCTAGATTGCCTTTCCGCCCTGCATATCAAACTACTTTTTTTTTTGAGACGGAGTTTTGCTCTTGTTACCAGGCTGGAGTGCAATGGCGCGATCTTGGCTCACCGCAACCTCCGCCTCCTGGGTTCAGGCAATTCTCCTGCCTCAGCCTCCTGAGTAGCTGGGATTACAGGCATGCACCACCACGCCCAGCTAATTTTTTGTATTTTGAGTAGAGACGGGATTTCACCATGTTGACCAGATGATCTCCATCTCTTGACCTCGTGATCCACCCGCCTCGGCCTCCCAAAGTGCTGGGATTACAGGTGTGAGCCACCGCGCCCGGCCTCAAACTACTTATTGAACCATATTGTTTGGATATCTGTAAATACCTCAGACATACATTGTCCACAGCAAAGACTCATTATTGCTCGGTAATCTGGCTTCTTTTACATTATCCTGTGTGTATGTGTGTGTACATGAGCACATGAGTGTGTGTTTTGCTTCCACTGTCTAACCATCTAAACAGTTATGCAGCCCCAAAACCTAGGAGTCATCTTTGACTTCTTTTTACTCCTTGCAGATATAGCAGATGTTACCAACTCTGTCCTTCAAATCTTCTGAATATATTTACATAGCCTCTTCATCACTGCATTTTTATGCCACCACCATAGTTCAAGTCATGGCTGTCTCTAGGCCTCTTATCTCTGGTTGTTGCTGCTCTCCTTCAGTCGCTTTGCACATTACACTTCTATAATGTTCTCTCTCTTAAAACCCCCTACTGGCTTGCCGTCTTTTCACGTGGATTCTAAACTCCTGACACTGGTTTATAACACCCTGTAGCCTCATTTGTACCATGCATCCTCTGCATTCTTTCTCCAAGTGATTATTTTTCTTATGTCCTGCTCCCTTTACCTGTAACACCATCTGTTCCACCCTTATTAGTTTATCTGGTTAATCCAAATTCCTGCTTTGTTTTATAGGCCTCAATTTAAACTTCACTTCCTCAGGAGAGTCTTTTTTCTTGTTTTCTTTGAGATGAAGTCTTGCTGTGTCACCTAGGCTAGAGTGTAGTGGCACAATCTTGGCTCACTGCAACCTCCACTTTCTGGGTTCAAGTGATTCTCCTGCCTCAGCCTCCTGAGTAGCCTGGCTAATTTTTTTGTGTTTTTAGTAGAGATTGGGTTTTGCCATGTTGGCCAGTCTGGTCTCGAACTCCTGACCTCAGGTGATCTGCCCACCTTAGCTTCCCAAAGGGCTGGGATTACAGGTGTGAGCCACTGCGCTTGGCCAAGTCTTTTTTTGAATTGTAGTCTAGTTTTATTTGTTCTTATGACTTCCTGTACTTTTCCTGTTATAGCCCTTATCACACTCTGGCTTCTTAGATGCCCATGAAGACAGAGATCATCTAAATCTTGATTTATTTACCACTTTATTCTCAGAGATTAGTTGAAAACCTGACCCTTAGTAGGTGCTCTATAAATATTTGTTGATGACTGAATTTAACACTGAATCATTGCTCTTTAAATCTCTAATGAGGAAAGTACCAGTTTGAGTAAAAATAGAAGTCCTAATCATTTTATTTCATTAATGATTCCAAGACATTTTTCACAAGAACAGTAGTATTTAAGCAGTGTCAGGAAAATAGCAAGTTTTATTAATTATATTCTGCTTATTCATTCTCTGGTTTCAATTAATTAGAACAGTGATTTTCAATTTTTAACTGAAAAATTCCCAGCATCCCTTAGCACTGTCACATCAATATCAATGGCTCACTAGCTCAGTAGTTGTCAGTCATGGGGGGTGCTTTTCAGAATCTCCAGGGTTGGTATTAATAATTTGTAAAAAGTCCCTAATCTTACTTCTTCCTTGAGTTGGACCCTCTCTCATCCATTGAGAAGTACTGAAAGAGAGTATACTTAACTTCAGTGGGTCCTGTTCTTAGCTATTGTTAAACTTGTTTAATATTTGGTAAAATAATTCTATGGACTGAAACCGAAGTCTGGAAATTAAAAGTGCCCTAGAGGTACTCCTGACTGATGAGTATGATAGTAGGTAGGTAGATGAATAAGTTGGTTAAAGTGAGGTATCATTTAAAAAATATGAGCCGTGTGGTGGTACACACCTGTAATCCCAGCTACTGAGGAGGCTGAAGTGGGAGGATTGCTTAAGCCCAGGAGTTTGAGTCCATCTTGGGCAACATAGGGAGACCTCCATCGTTGAAAAAAAAAAAAAAAGATATATACCTTAAACATTGTATTTTAACTTAAAACAGAATTATGTGTTGATTCTCCAATCTTTTAACTTTGGGCAAAGCATTTTCAGGATATGGTTTTCTTGACTGGAGTTCTCGATCATCTTTTTTATAAATAGCACATCTATAAAGCATCATCTGTGGATTCTAATTTTAGTCTCTTTAAAATAGAGTTAGAATATAAATCTGAGTGTAAAATACTTGGAGGCTTTTATGATTTTTCTGTCTCAAGGTTTTTTAGCTTTTTTTCCTGGCACTTGTTTTTATTCTCTCTCAAAAGCATGTGATTTAGTTTTTGTAATACCTCTCTGTGCTTTCATATGTCATTAGTTCATATATTTTTGATTTAAATTGTATAATTATGATAAAAAGAACAATTAGCATGAATAGAAACAAAAATTGATGCTAGGTAGCCATATGCCTCAGCTTGTGTACAGGGAATGAGCTGTTGGCCTTGAATATTCCATATATTATGGGCATTAATATGTTTTACAATGGGAATAGAAACTCCTTAGTACAGTGAGTCAGTGAAGTTGAAATAGGTTAAAGAGAGCTAATGTATATGTACTAACAATTTTTAATGATAAAGATTTTGTACAAGCCTATCCCCCTACCACCCCAATGATGTATTTAAATTTTGAGGATTTAAAAAAAAAATCTGTGGTCTTTTTTTTTTTAACGTGTTTTTTTCTTTTATCTTTGAAATATTTTTTGCTAAAAATCGTATTGATGTATTTTTTGAATAGAAGAAAGCAACTAAATGTACATCTCTTGAAATCGTACAGATTTGATTGATAAGATGAAATGAGGTTAATCTAGGGGTAAAGTTGATTGGAACAGAAAATATTGCATTATATCATTAGAATCAAGAAAATAAGCTACCTTAGTATCATGTCATATATTGGACATGTGATAATAATTATAATGATGTATTAAGTGCTTTTTATTAATGCTTCTTTTTATTCATGTAATTCTTTTAAGATGGGCATTTTTATTTTCCACTTTATAGATGAGGAAATTGATTCAGAGAGTGTAAATATTGTGCCTAAAGCTGTATAGATATTAAATGGAAGGCTGGGGTTTGAATTTAGGTATATCTGATTCTAAAGTGTATATATTCTGTATCATTGGCTAAGCTTTTTAAAAAAACCTTATGTAATTTTTGGGATGTGTCTTTTTTAGATGAAGAAAATAGTTTACATGTGGTAGTGAACTGTGGAGAAGCATTACTGAAGAATAACACTTACTGGCCTCTTGTTAGTGATTTTATTAATATTCTTTCTCATCAAAGTGTGGCAAAGAGATTTTTGGAGGATCATGGTTTGTTAGTTACATGGATGAACTTTGTATCTTTCTTTCAAGGTATGAATTTTACCCCTTCGTTAATTTTTTGGTTTACAAAATTCCTAATGCTAAATTATTAAATATTGATTAAAATATAATAGCACATCATTCAGGCTACACATGAAATGTCTCATTATTTTGTTTTATTTTTTTAACAGAAAAAATAAGATCTACAAAAGTAAAATGTAGACAAGGATTATATGCTTAAAAAACTGAACTAGAAATACAAAGAGAAGATAGGTCAGAATTGAGTTAGAGGAAGATTTTATAGGCACAAGAGCAATTAAGCAAGACATAAAAGAACAATAAATCTGACTATATAAAATTAACTTCTGCAATATTGAAAACAAAAATTTCTTTTTGATATTGTCAATCTTTTTATTTTTTAATTAATTAATATTTTGGATAAAGAAAATGTGGCACATATACACCATGGAATACTATGTAGCCATAAAAATGATGAGTTCATGTCCTTTGCAAGGACATGGATGAAGCTGGAAACCATCATTCTCAGCAAACTGACAAAAGAACAGAAAACCAGACATTGCATGTTCTCACTCATAAGTGGGTGTTGAACAATGAGAACACGTGGACATAGGGAGGGGAACATCACATACCAGGGCCTATTGAGGGGTGAGGGAGATTGGGGAGGGATAGCAGGGGGTGGGGGAATTGAGGAGGCATAACATTAGGAGAAATACCTAGTGTAGATGATGGGGGCATGGATGCAGCAAACCACCATGGCATGTGTATACCTATGTAACAATCCTGGACGATCTGTGCATGCATCCCAAAACTTAAGGTACAAAATATATACATGGTAAAAAAAATAACAGATGCTGACCAGGTTATGGAATAAAGGGAATGCCTATACAAAAATAAAAAATAAAAAAAGAAATGTTTCATCATTTTAATTGGTATTTGTAAGTACTTTAATAAATTGTTTATAAAACATACCAAGGAGTTAGGAAAAATGTCAAATGATTGGAAAAGAAACAGGAGTACAGTTAACTGGATTTTTAAATTTTTAATAGAGACAGAGTCTCACTGTGTTGCCCAGGCTGATCTAGAACTCCTGGGCTCAACCAATCCATTTGCCTCGGGGTCCCAAAGTACTGGGATTACATGCATTAGCCACTGTGCTTGGCTTTGAAGCATTTGTAACCCTTAATATAGAAATGTGAATTCTATTTTCTGAGAAAGATGCATAACACACGAAACTTTCAACTAATAAATTAAAATTGTTTTGACTTTCTTATTAAAAGGTGTTGAATTAGTTATATGAGACAATTCATAAAATATTTCATAAAATTCATAAAAGAAAACAGATTGTAAAAAATTCTGAAAGGACTAGTTTGTTTTGTTTTTAGTAATTATTTTTATATATGTACTGTGTCAGTAATGCCATTTGTGTGCATAAAATGTGTTTGGGACTGCTAAATGTATTTGGTATTTAATCTGAATGTGTGCTTCCATTTGACAAGGTTTAACTCTGCTTTAATTTTTGCAAGGTATGAACTTAAACAAGCGAGAACTAAATGAACATGTGGAATTTGAGTCTCAGACCTACTATGCTGCCTTTGCTGCTGAACTTGAGGCCTGTGCACAGCCAATGTGGGGACTCTTATCACATTGTAAAGTTAGGGTATGTTGGAAATATTTTTGTTAATATCTGTGTTTACTTTAATTATTTTAGAAAAAGACTTGTGAAAATATTGATTTGTTCACTTGTATATAATGGGCAGTGTTTAATTTTGTTTCAAATTGAATTCAACTTTATCAAAGCTGACCTGAGGCAGTAATTTTTATTCTTAGGCAGTTTGGAATTTATTATTATCAGATCTTTCCAGCCTGTTGTCATTGTGAACAGTCTTTGGAACTTCATTAGTCTCCACATTCATCTTTATTGTTTCATTTATTATCAGTCGCCTAATGCTTCTTATCTTTCAAGGACTAGGATAGTCTTCAATGAAGTTTACACTTTTAAGATTCCAAGGACAAAACAAGTATAAATTTCCTAAAGCATCTAGTTGTTGTTATGTATATCATAATATAAAATATTACAAGTATTGGTTTGATGGGTCTCCAGAAACCTTGGGCAGTCTAGACAAATGGAATCCCCTGACCCAATTAAAGACTTGACTAAAATTTTGATATATGGACACCATGAAGGTTCCAGCCAGTTATTTTATACCAGTAATCATGTTGGACAAGATTTTGTAGTGGAAATATTTTGAAGCCCTGGGTTCTAATCTTGGTTCTGCCTCTTTTTTACTTGGGTGATTTGGTCATCTCATTTAAAAATAGTTGAATTTCTCAGTCTGTTTACGGACCTTTTAAAAACAAAGTGAAAGAGAAATGGGATAGTAAAGCCTGCTCTTTATTATTATGAAGCTCTCTTCCATCTACCATTTAAATGTATGTGTTTCTTTAAGTAGATTTATAATTTCTTTTGTTAGTTCAGCCATTCTCTAAATGCAGATGAGTTTGTTAGTCTTACTAGGTTGAAATTCATTCCCTCCTTCCCTCCCTCTGTGTCCTTTCTCTCCCACTCTCCCTCCCTCCCTACCTCCCTACCTCCCTACCTCCCACCCTCCCTTCCTTCCCTCCTTCCTTCTTTCCTTCCTTCTTCCTTCCTTCCTCCCTCCTTCCTTCCTTCTTTCCTCCCTCCTTCCTTCCTCCCCCCGCTTCCTTCCTCCTTCCCTCCTTCCTTCCCCGCTTCCTCCCTCTCTCTCTGTTGCCCAGGCTGGAGTGCAGTGGTGCCATCTTGGCTTACTGCAACCTCCACTTCCCAGTTTCAAGCAATTCTTCTGCCTCAGCCTCCTGAGTAGCTGGGATTACAGGTGTGTGCAACCACACTCGGCTAAGTTTTATATTTTTAGTAGAGAAGGGGTTTCACTATGTTGCCAGGTTCAAACTTCTAACAGGTCTGATTATTCATGTAGATCCCCTTGTAGGTACATGAATTTTCACAGGTCCTAAATTAACTTTTAAAAATTATCTGTCCATACTATATTTCCTTTTGTTACCTTGTTGTCATTTAGTGGTATTTTAAATTACGTAATTTTCCATTCTGGAAACTTTCTCCCCTTGCTATACTAGCTGTGTTCAGCCTGTAATCAGATACTGTGAATCTTTCTTTCATTCCTGAAATGTTCCTCTTCTGCTTCTTTCCTTTATTTCTCTGTATTTAAAAAATATGGATTATTAAGGTAATTTGTTTTTTTAATATATATATATTTTTATTGCACTTTAGATTCTGGGGTACATGTACAGAACATGCAGGACTGTTGGCATAGGTACATACATGGCAATGTGGTTTGCTGCATCCATTCCTGTCACCTATATCTGGCATTTCTCCCCATGGTTATCCCTCCCCAACTCCCTACCCCCTGCTGTCCCTCCCCTAGTTCCCCCCTACAGACCCCAGTGTGTGATGCTCCCCTCCCTGTGTCCATGTGTTCTCATTGTTCAACACCTGCTTGTGAGTGAGAACATGCGGTGTTTGATGTTCTTTTCTTGTGTCAGTTTGCTGAGAATGATGGTTTCCAGATTCATCTATGTCCCTACAAAGGACATGAACTCATTGTTTTTTATGGCTGCATAGTATTCTGTGGTGTATATGTGTCACATTTTCCCTGTCCATTCTATCATCAATGGGCCTTCTCTGCATCTATTGAGATAATCATGTGGTTTTTGTCTTTGGTTCTGTTTATGTGGTGGATACATTCGTAGGCTTGTGTATGTTGAACCAGCCTTGCATCCTGGGATGAAGCCTACTTGACCGTGATGGATAAGCTTTTTGATGTACTGTTGCCATCGGTTTACCAGTATTTTATTAAAGATCTTTGCATCTATGTTCAGGATATTGGCCTGAAGTTTTCTTTTCTTGTTGAGTCTTGGCTGGGTTTTGGTATCAGGATGTTGTTGGTCTCATAAAATGATTTGGGAAGGATTCCCTCTTTTTGGATTGTTTGGAATAGTTTTGGAAGGAGTGGTACCGGCTCCTCTTTGTATGTCTGGTAAACTTCAGCTGTGAACCCATCTGTACCTGGGCTTTTTTTGGTTGGTAGGCTGTTAATGCTACTTCAACTTCAGCCTTTGTTATTGGTCTATTCAGGGTTCGACTTCTTCCTGGTTTAGACTTGGCATGGTGCAAGTGTTCAGGAATTTATCCATTTCTTCCAAGTTTACTGGTTTATGTGCATAGAGTTGTTTGTAGTAATCTCTGATGGTAGTTTGTATTTCTGTGGAATCAGTAGTGATATCTCCTTTATCGTTTTTTATTGCATCTATTTGATTCTTCTGTCTTTTATTTTTATTAATCTGGCTAGTAGTCTATTTTGTTAATCTTTTCAAAAAACCAGCTCCTGGATTTATTCATTTTTTGAAGGGTTTTTTGTGTATCTGTCTCCTTCAGTTCTGCTCTGATCCTAGTTATTTCTTATCTTCTGTTAGGTTTTGAGGTTTTTTTTTTTATCTTGCTCCTCTGTCTCTCTCAATTTTGACGATAGGGTGTCGATTTTAGATCTTTCCTTGCTTCTCATGTGCGCCTTTATTGCTATAATTTTTCCTCCAGACACTGCTTTAAATGTGTCCCAGAGATTTTTGTATGTTGTGTCCTTGTTCTTGTTGGTTTTGAAGAACATCTTTATTTCTGCCTTCATTTCATTGTTTATCCAGTCAACAATGAAATGAAGGCAGAAATAACTGGGTTTATTCAAGACCCAGTTATTCAGTTTCCATGAAGTTGTGCAAGTTAGTTTGTTAATCCTGAGTTCTAATTTGATTGCACTGTGATCTGAGGGACTGTTTATTCTGGTTTCCATTCTTTTGCATTTGCTGAGGAGTGATTTACTTCCAATTATGTGGTCAACTTTAGAGTAGGTGTGATGTGGTGCTGAGAAGAATGTCTATTCTGTGGATTTGGGGTGGAGAGTTCTGTAGATGTCTATTAGGTTTGCCTCATCCAGATCTGAGTTCAAGTCCTGGATATCCTTGTTAATTTTCTGTCTGGTGGATCTGTCTAATATTGACAGTAGAGTGTTAAAGTCTCCCACTATTATTGTGTGGGAGTCTAAGTCTCTTTGTAGGTCGTTAAGAACTTGCTTTCTGTATCTGGGTGCTCCTGTATTGGGTGCGTATATATTTAGGATCATTAGCTCTTCTTGTTGCATTGACCCTTTTACTATTATGTAATGCCCTTCTTTGTCTCTTTTGATCTTTGTTTGGTTTAAAGTCTATTTTATCAGAGACTAGGATTGCAACTCCTGCTCTTTTTTGGTCTCCATTTGCTTGGTAAATCTTCCTCCATCCCTTTATTTTGAGCCTATGTGTATCCCTGCACGTGAGATGGGTTTCCCGGATACCGGACACCAATGGGTTTTGGCTTTTTATCCAATTTGCCAGTCTGTGTCTTTTGATTGGGGCATTTGGCCCATTTACATTTAAGGTTAATATTGTTATGTGTGAATTTGATCCTGCCATTTTGTTGCTAGATGGTTCTTCTTTTTTTTTTTTTAAATTGCATTTTAGGTTTTGGGGTACATGTGCAGAACATTCAAGATAGTTGCATAGGTACACATGTGGCAGTGTGATTTGCTGCCTTCCTCCCCTTCACCTATATCTGGCATTTCTCCCCCTTCTATCTCTCCCCAACTTCCCACCCCTTGCTGTCCCTTCCCTATTCCCCCCAATAGACCCCGGTGTGTAGTGCTCCCTTCCCTGTGTCCATGTGTTCTCATTGTTCAGCACCTGCCTATTAGTGAGAACATGTGGTTTTTCATTTTCTGTTCTTGTGTCAGTTTGCTGAGATTGATGGTCTCCAGGTTCATCCATGTCCCTACAAAGGACACTAACTCATCGTTTTTGATTGCTGCAGCCAGCTGGTTCTTTTACCTATTGGTTGATGCAGTTTCTTCATTGTGTCAATGCTTTTTACCATTTGGTACGTTTTTGGATTGGCTGGTACTCTTTGTTCCTTTCTATGCTTAGTGCTTCTTTTAGGAGCTCTTATAAGGCAGGCCTGGTGGTGACGAAATCTCTGAGCAGTTGCTTGTTCATAAAGGATTTTATGTCTCCTTCGCTTATGAAGCTTAGTTTGGTTGGATATGAAATTCTAGGTTGAAAGTTCTTTTCTTTAAGGATGTCGAATATTGGTCCCTACTCTCTTCTGGCTTGTAGGGTTTCTGCTGAGAGATCTGCTTTAGTCAGATGGGCTTCCCTTCGTGGGTAAACTGATCTTTCTCTCTGGCTGCCCTTAGCATTTTTTCTTTGATTTCAACCCTGGTGAATCTGACGATTAGATGCCTTGGGGTTGCTCTTCTTGAGGAATATCTTTGTGGTGTTTTCTGTATTTCCTGGACTTGAATATTGGCTTGCCTTGCTAGGTTGGAGAAGTTCTCCTGGATAATATCCTGAAGAGTGTTTGCCAGCTTGGATTCATTCTCTCCATCACATTCAGGTACACCTATCAAACATAGATTGGGTCTTTTCACATAATCCCATTGTTCTTGGAGGCTTTGTTCATTTCTTTTCACTCTTTTTTCTCTAATCTTGTCTTCTTGTTTTATTTCATTGAGATGATCATCAATCTCTGATATCCTTTCTTCTGCTTGGTCAGTTCATCTGTTAAAGCTTGTGTAT